TCCCAAGTGCTGGGATGACAGGTATCTGCCATCACACCGGGTCAACTCAGCTGTTTGGAGTGTATCTTCCCACAGTGGCGCTCTGAAAGGGGCGGGTTTCTAGAGCAGCCAGCCAGGCCCACAAAGACAGCTGCTCCCATTTTGGATGAATATGCGATTTGAAATAATTCTCGAAATAACTCTGAGAGATAGACATCTGTGTCCCTGCCTTTGCGGTAAGGTCTGGGGTTATACAGCTAACAGGCAGCAGAGTCAGGCAGGTCTGGCTCCACCCTGTGTGGTGGTCCCCAGGACACTAGGCAGCCTTCAGTAGCTCAGGTGATCAGGACAGAGAGAACAGTGCGGTGGGGACTCCCATTCTCCTCTGTTAAACACCACACTGCAAAGAAATGTGCAGGGCGATAACAGAGCCTCCACCGGAGCCGCCTGTGACGCAAGAGGTGACACAGGACCAAGATTCCTATCACCTCTCTGTTGGGTGGAGTACAGTGGCAATTCATGAAGGAACGCCAAATGACAGGGCAATACACTACCTCAAGTTTTGCTTGGCCTGTGTGGAAAAGCATGTTATTGAAAGTTCAATTGACTGCGTACCACCACGCCTGAATCCCAGCACTCCAGAGGCTGAGGCGGGCGGATGGCTGCGAGTTCAAGACCAGCCTGGGCTACAAAGTGAGCTTAAGGCCAGCCTGAACTGCATAGCCAGACCCTGTCTCTTTTAAAAAGACAAACAAGAAAGAGACAATTCAACTCTGGCCCTCGAGGGCTCTCTCCATAACTCACCTTGTCAGCCAGCAGCTCCCTGATCTTGCCGGCCTGGAGGCGAAATCGGAGGAGCTGTGTTTCCAGGGTCAGGCAGCGCTTCTGCCAGTCTACACTGGCCTGGGTGTCCACCTGGAGTCCTGCCATGGTGACCTCAACTTCTGGGTATTCCGGAGAGCTCTAAGAAGCCACGCAGGGAAAAAAGAGGGTAGGTACCTGAGGGGTGGGGAAAGGAGGAGGAGCCAGGGAGGGTGGGAGTGGTCATCACTCTGGGTCAAGCTCCCAGCTTAGCTCAGGTGCCCTGTGGCAGAATTTAGGGACGACCTCTGGACCCCACAAAACCTTAAGAAAGACTCAGCCTTCTTTTTAGTGTCGACGCTGACAGGGGAACACACTTGTTAACTTTTCAATTCAGTTAGCCAAGCAACTGCCATTTATGTGCCAGATCCTATTCTAGGCCAGGGTATAAAAGTAAATGAGAGGCCAATGGTCTTTGAGGGCTTTTTTGGTTTGGTTTATCTTTTTCAGACAGGGCCTTCCTATGCAGCTCAGGTTGGCCTTGAGCTCACTTAGTAGCCCAGGCTGGTCTCAAACTCGCAAGGATCCTCCTGCCTCAGCCTCCCGCGTGCTAGGATCATAGGGGTAAACCACACGCTCAGCTGGTCTTTGAGTTTTTCAAGGAACTCTAGACTCAAAATTAAAATGTGAGCCGGGTGTAACAGTGCACACCTGAAATCCCCACTCCTACTACTCAGAAGGCTGAGGTGAAAAGGCTGCATGTTCCAGTCCAGCCTGGGCAACTGAGCAAGATCCACTCTCAAAAAATAAAAAGGGCTAGGGCCATAGCTCAGCACCTCCTGGGTTTAATCCCCAGCGCCATAAAATAATAATAATAATAATAACAATAACAATAATTGATCACAATTGCAAGTGGATAAACTAGAGCAGTAGTTATGATATTCAGGAAAGGCTTAAAAATGAGTAACAAATTTGTCCAACTTCACGGTAGCTAATGAGGCAGAATCTTCAGTTACAGTGCTCCTTTTTCTTTGTTAAGAAAAATTAACAAAAATTGGGGCTGGGAGATAGCTCAGTGGTGTAAGGGCCTGCCTGGCAAGCACAGGAACCTGGGTTCGATCCCCGGCACCACATGCTGCGTCAGCCCTGCCCCAGGAATATCACACAGGCCGCTGAACCCAGGCGTGGTGGCACATGCCTGTAATCCCAGCACTGGGGAAGCTGAAATAGGAGGATCCCTAAGAGTCCAATCTGCATAGTGATACCCTGTACCAAATACATAAAATTAAAAAAAAAAAAAAGAGTAGGAAAATGTATTGGAGAAAAGGGATGGAGAATGGGAACAGCTCCTGAGAGACAGAAGGGGTCCCACACGGGTTGCCGAATGCTCTGATTCCACTTATACCCATGTGGATGTTAGGTGGGGAAAGCGCAAAGGACACACGCTTTGAACTTCCTTGCTAATTATCTATCTAGGTAGGACTCTGCCCCCTGTTGTCAAATCACCCTACCCCAGAACAGACCCTCCTCCTGGCCTCCGCTTCAGGTTACAAGACCCAAACTAGAAAAGTGCTGGATATTTTGCTACAGCCCCCAGAAGAGGGCACAAGTCTTTGGAAAAAACAAAGTACAAATTCAGAACCAATGCAGCAGACACCTCCAACATCTCCAGCCAAGGGAATTTCCCCAGATGCTTCCCCGCATGTGTTTTAGAAAAGAAAAAAAAAAAAAGGCCAAGAATGAGAAAGGGAAGCAGCAGGTAGGGGTGTGATCAAGAAGAGGCAGGGGCACAGCGTGTCTTTAAATCCTTTTCCGGTCCCAGGTGCCACAGGCCCTCAGGAAATGCAGCCACCTCCTGCCTTCCTGCGCTGTTGGAATCCCACCTGCAAAGACAGGGCGCTGCCCTTTGGTGGCCAGCCTCCTGTCTGACTCTGGCTGGAGTCTTCCACCCCTTGTGCATCAGCAGCTACCACTCACTGAGCCCTTACTGCACACCAGGCGTGTGCCACCTCCAGCCACACGGAGGCCATGGGTATGCACTCGTGTCCACACCCACACTGAGGAGCAGAGAGGCTAAAGAGTAACACGGTGGGACTGGGGGCTCATTCGGAACCTCGTCACCACTGAGCTCTCAGGAAAGGCTAAGAATGGAGCTCAGAGCTGTGGGATGGGGGTAGAGCATTTGCCTGACATGTGACTTCGTAGAGTGAGAGAACTGTTTATAAAATCTTTCAGAAGTCTCAGCACTAAGGTGAAACTGTCTTCCAGATTTTCCCAGGCATCTAGGCTGGATCATAATCTCTATAAGCACAGCTGCTGAGCATGTGTCCTGACTTTTCCTGTAAAATACAAGGTCAGTAAACCTGCTGAGAAAAGCCCAGCAGTTAAACACTGATAGCTGGTATCTTATTTTCTTGGTTCTGGGCTCCTCAGGATACCAGACACATGACCTCAGCTGGGCTCGCCCAGAACTGTCATCCCAAACAATCCTCACACTGTAGCCTCCCAGCCATCTCCGCCTCAAAAGACTGGGACCAACTGGAACGGGCAGGATGACAAAAGACAAAACAAAACATGACCTTCTCTGAGCTAAGATCACAGCTGAAAAGACAAAACAGAACTCTGCAGGCCCTGCAGAGAGGTTGAGAGGCTTTATGTTTGATTTTCTTTGTCCTATTTAGGGGGATTTTGCTCTTCCTCCTGTAAACAGAAAATATGGCACATCTGAGACTAGGGCTTGGGAGTTTTGCAATCTAGCCTAGGGCTAAGAATTACCAATAAAAGCACCTAAGGAAAACCAAAGGGGCAAGGGAAAGAAACACGTTTGTGTAGTTGAGTTTAATTTTAATTCACTCTTACTGATCATGAAAACTGTTGATCAGATTCCATGGAGAGAGGGGAAACCCAAATTACCACAATCTCTGGGACTCTGGAAATAAAATCACACACAACTATTTAATGTCATTAACCTGTGCATAGCCCCATGCACCTAGAGTTAGGGAGCCCCTTCTCCTACCAAGCACCTCCATGACATCACAATCCTGGACTGATCACATGGTCTGGTTAATCCTCCTGCTGCCTGGGAGATGCTGGCTAACTCCAGAGGAGGCTGGGCTCGTGCTAGACCTGCCTTGGCATGCCAGGAGGGTTAAGAGGTTTGGAAACAGATCTGGTGCCCACTGCCAGGCACAAGGCCCAGAGGCTCTTCCGGCAGAAGCAGGTGGCCCAAGCAACAACTATAAAATAAGGGATGTTTAGAAACGATGCCAGCAAGGTGAGCCTCGCCTGTTGAGTAACCTTGCACTTGTGCCTGAAAGAAACACGATGGGGCCGGGGAGATGGCTCAGTAGAATAAGTACGTCCCTGGAGAGCACAAGGGCTTGAGTTCAATCCCCAGTTCCAAAAAAAAAAGAAAAGAAAAAGAAACACAACGAGCCTAACCCAGTGCCTGACATTTACAGAGGGATCCTCAGTATTTCAAAGCACATGACTTTCTCATTCAGGACTCCGGGAGACAGAAGGCAAGTGCCATCACAACAAACAGGTAACTAATCACACCTGCGAGTGGCTTCGAGACACAGAGCTAAGGGGTAGCAGAGCGGAGCCAGGAATCCTGATTTCCCAAAACCTAGAACGGCCCTCTTTCCCTGACACGTCAGCTGTGGCGGCAGGCACCTTGTGCTCCCAGGCCTGCCTAACACAAATAGGTCACTAATGGCAGAAATCCACACCAGGGCTGGTGCAGCTCAGTGGGGGATCCCTCACCCACCCTGCCTGAGGCCGGAATCTGATCTCCAGGGGCCACCACCAGCAAAATGCAGAGGAGTGAGGGCCAATCCGGAGGTAAGCTGGGAACAAGCCCAGCTGTATAATTTTTAGGTTTGAAAGCTGCACACAGAAGCGGAGCAGTGCAGCTATGCCTGTGTGCGCCATCCAGCAGCAATTTTCATCAACACAAGGCCATTGAACTCAGACCCTTGCGCTTGCCAGGCAAGCACTTACTCTACTGAGCTATCTCCCCGGCCCTGAGAAATCCAGTTCTCCCCAGCCTCCAGTACCCAGCATGCTAAAGGAGTCCCACCCCCGCAAGCCCTCCAGCACTCTGCCTATACAGCCCAGGCTGACCTCAAACTCGTGGTGATCCTCCTGCCTCAGCCTCCCAGTGCTTGGATTATAGGCGTGGGCCAGCACAGCCTGCACCCTCCACCCTCTGGCACTCTATATGAACCAAAAAACACACCACAGAAGTCAGGAGGCTCTGCCTGGGAGGCAAGGCCTGAGGATAGGCTGGTAGTGGAAAAGAGGAGGAGTCTTTGCTGACCTCAGACTCTGAGCCTGTATCAGTTAAAAAACGCAAACACGATCTGGGACCTCGAGGATTTGATCAAAAATTGATAAAATGTTGAGACTCAATTTACTTCAACCTTTTTCTTTTTCCTTTCTTTGTTTCTTTTCTTTCTTTTTTTTTTCTTTTTCTTTTTTCTTTTCTTTTTTTCTTTTTTTTTTTTTTTTTTTTTTTTGTACTAGAGAACCCAGGCCTATCCTGTATCCTTTTTATTCATTTATATTTTGAGACAAGGTCTTCCTAATTTGCCCAGATGGGACTCAAACTTGCCTCAGCATCCCAGAAAGGTGGGATTTCAGATGAACCCTTTACAGCGCAATCTGCTTGAAAAGTCTCCATATCCTGCTGCTTCCCATCAAAGGCCCTCAATCAATGCAGAGCCCTTTAGGAAGAGATGACAGGTCACTGCAGGCCCAGGACATTCTGTTGCTTCCAGGGATGAGTAGGCATCAGAAGGTAATGGGGGCTCTGTCTGCTTTGGTCTTCTTTTTGGAGTACTAGGGATTGAAGCAAAGACTGCCCACCAAGCTACATCCAAGGCTCTCTTTTAGTAGGGTCTCACTAAGTTATTCAGGCTGCCCTTGAATTGCACCCTCCTGCCTCAGCCTCCCAAAGAGCTAGGATCACAGGCATGCATCACCACTTTTGGCTTTCATGTTTTTCCAGAAATATCCACAACATGTACAAGCAGGAATCTACATTTTGCAGGCACATGGGACGCACGACGCACACTGTACTAAGCAATATAAATAAAAGACCTTCCTGTGTTAATACACATCCCTGCCCCACTTTCCCTCCATGCTTCTAACAGCTTTAATGTATTCTGCATTGCAGCTATTATACGATGTTATTTAAGGATCCCTTATTGATAGACATTTGGGTTGTTGCCGACCTTTTGCAAAAGTAACACTGCAATGAATATTCAATGAATATGCACCATTTCATATAGATCAGGTATACCTGAAGGCCAGTCCAGGAAATGGAATGGGAGGGTTAAGTGATAGGCCTTTAAGTCACTGGACAGTCCAAAGTATCTTCCCTGGAGGCTATCCTACTCCATGTTTGTACTTCAGCCAGCACTGAGTGCCTGTTTCCCCATCACTGAGGTCAGTTTTGAACAAGCTTTTGCTAGAAGGGCAAAATGGCTAAGCTGTGCGGCCCAGGAAACGCAGGGTGGTGCCCCAGTACCAGCCTACGGAGAAGCCACCCAAAACGAGTGAGGGAATCCTTGTCTCCTTAATGTCCGAACGTACAACGCACTCTCTAAGGAGCTCGGGGCAGAGTCTGGCACAAGATACACAGCCTTGCCGGGACTGAAGAATAGCCTAGCATGCAGGAGCCTTGGCTTCTATCCCAGGCAGAGGGGGTGTGGTGCTTGTGTAGTAAAGAGGAAGGCACCACAGGCGGTGGAACAGAACAGGAAGAACACACTTGTGTCCTGTAGTTGGCGACTTCTGAGAGAGCCAAAAAGGCACTGTGTGTTTTCAGCTCTCTTGTTAGTTCCCATGAGTTTGGGATCACAGGGTGCACCCCCATCACCATCCAGCTCTGGGCAGGTCCCCTCTGCACCCTGGGGGGAGCAATGGTCTGATCCCCAAGTAGGAGTCTATGTGGCTTGACTCTTCAGCTCTTCCTTACATGACCTTGGGCAAATCACTTTCCTAGGCCTGGTTTTCTCCTTCATGAAATGGTAATGGGCAGGAACACTGCCGGAGATGGTCCATAAAAACCCATTACTACACACAAGGTCGGGCACGTACAAGTCTGAAGAAGCCTTTTCCCTCCAAAGGGCTGCTTGACGATCGATCTTTGCAGCGCTCTCCCGGAACCAAGTGGGCAAGTGTTACCAGGTGGAGTCCTAGCAAAAGCTCCAGGAAGGGATATTCTGGCAGGGAGCATCCAACCGGGGAGAGGATCACACTTCCACACGAGGGTCCTCACTGCCTCTGCCACCCCTATGAAGGCTCCTGGTCCCTGGGGACTGATTCCCGAACACAATGCCCCTGGCTGTCATCCGGCGCCCAACCTGTTTTCCTTTCGGGTCGGCGAACTTGTTCTTAGGAGTCGCGCCTGCCGCTTAAGGACCGCTGCGAGAAACACCCAGAACCGCCGGAAGGAATAACCGAGGGTGAGGTGGGGAAAGGAGAGGCGAAAAGAAGCACGCACCGGCGGGGAGAAACCTGGACCGACGGCCGGCCGGCCAAGAGCCCTGCCCCGGAGAAGCTCGATCGAGTCGGCGCCACGCCGTGTCCTCCCAGGAAGGCCAGCCCGGTCCCCGTCCCCGTTGCGCGGGTGCCCGGGGCTCCC